ATGTCGGTGTGGATTTTGGCCTGTGGCGTGCTGGCGATTGTTCATTTCTTCTTTGAACTTTTCTGCTTCCTCCCCCCGCTGCCTGCTCTGCCCTACACCCAGGAGGGAAAACAAGTAGAAGAATAAGAATGCATGTCAGTTATACTTTAGGAGCTGATTTACACCTTAAGCAGGTATGCAACAGGTGTTTCTTATTTTTTCACCTTAAAGAGTATTTTTCAATACATGGATGCAAAGTTCACAATAGACTCATAGATTGTGGTGATGACTTCATGGGTGCATATGTATCTCCAAACTCATCAAATTGTATACATTAACTGTACGGCTCTTTGTATGTCAGTCATACCTTAATAAAGTGGTACAAAAAATTCACCATAGACTTACACACAACTGGCTATAACTGGCTGTAATCCTCTGCACATATTTGCCTTTCAGTGACCTAATGCCTGTCATGATGAAAACCCTCAAAGAAACAGCCACATGGATCTCCTGCTTCCTTCCATCTCTATGGGATAAAGGAGATCTGTGAAACGGTGTAAACACAGTCAGCAAGAAGTCCCCATGGAGCTATGAAATGCTGTCAATCTCTGGATTACAAGCCAGCACCTCTCAAGGAAATAGAATGCTTGGCTGAAACTGCCCTTCCTAAACATGTAGCCCGGACCTGCTGTCTGGGGCTTATATGGCTTTTCCAGGACCTACAAAAATGTTGAGGGGGAGAGAGAGAAACCGAGAAAATTGGCTTCAAAATATAAAAACAACAACCCACAATTAATCAGTTTAACTAAAGGTCTACAAATGTAATACTGGAGACCTCACAAACTATTTTAATATTTCAATATTCAAAACATTTGAAAAGAATTTGTAGCTTTGTAAGATATTAGTGCACTTTGTGAGAAATTTCCAGTATTCAAGATGATGGTTAAGAAGTCATCACCAAGTATAATTGAACTTTGTGCCAAATAATTTCAGAATTATAAATTATTATTAATTATAAATTATTATAAATTATAAATTTCTTTATTTTTTATAAATTAATTTTTTATTTTTATTAAATTATTGTAAATTATAAATTATTTTTAAGAAAAATTTGCCTTTAAAAGAATGTGTATTTAAGGTAGGATGCGGGTGCATTTTAACATTTGGTGTAGTTAAACCACCAAAAGTCAGGGAGGCCATTACAGTGATGTGCCAGAGATACAGTGTGAGCTGCAAGTGTCATTTAAAATTTTCTAGTAGTCACATTTTAAAGAATATAAGCAGGGGAAATTAATTTTAATTTTATTATCCAAAATACCACTTCGACATGTAATCGGTACAAAAATTAATGAGATATTAAGGTTTTCATACTAAGCCTTTGAAATCCGCTGTGTGTTTTATATCTACATCTCAATTCCGATGAACCACAGAACCTTCAAAGTTACTTAAAATGACCCTGCTTGCTACCAATACCTATCCAGGATGGAGATTTGTGCCTCCTAATCTTTCCTTCCTAAGGCAGGGAAACTGCGAAAGGGTGAGTGCTCGGAGTCCTCCCCAGGCACAAGACTTCAGTGTTCTATAAGGAAACTAATGATGTCATTAAGTTTGAAATAGAAAAATTATGAATCTGACCTCTGACAAACTATCTCCTTTAGTGTTTTCTAAGGAGGCCTTCAATCTTTCTAAAAGTGTATTATTTTAAAGAATATTCTTCTAGCAGGATAAGCAATCCTTCAATTCCACTCTCCAAATATTTTAAAACCTTAGTAACAACAGCAAACGGAGGGGGACAGCCAACACTCTTCATCTCTTTTAACAGGCTCTTCTCAAATTGAACACAGAACTCGCTGTCCAATCTTGGCACAGGGGTCACTGGCGCCATCTGCTGGCCTGACCGAAACACAGCCTCCCGGCTTGGAGAATCCTTTTGAGACAACCAAGATCTCAAAACAGCTCAGTTTACAGCAATTTTTGTCCCCACTGTATACCGACAGTCCATGGAACTTTCCGTGGACACCATCCCACCTGGTAGTTATAGTAGTAGCCACTAACATGTGAGTGCTTATCATGGGCCAGCCAGAAAGCACTTTTTGTGCTTTAACACTGACTACTCACAACAAGTTTGTGATAGCTACTTTTAATGTCCCATTTTACAGATGTGATCTCAGAGGTTCAGGCTTAAATCACATGCTCAAGGTTGGTGACAGAGCTGGGATTTGAAGGCAGGCAGTCCTACTCCGAGCACGTTCTTAACTGCAAGGGGATACAGATATTTCAAATATCATATTAAGATCAATATAATTACCCCTCCCATTTTGGGGAGAATGCAAGGCAACAATTATGGCCAGTAATTCTGGAAGTTCAGGTTACTGAACCTCAAGAACTCATCCTAAACCACGTAAGAACTGAAAGGGACAGAGAAAAATCCCAACCCAGGGTATATATAATATATACATAACAGGAGCACAAAGTCACAAAAAACAATACCATTACTGTGACATACTCAAAATATATTCTGTACTTTTTTTCAGTTCCATTTTAAAAAATGCTAGTCACAACCACACTAATTTCACAACCTATGAATGGGTCATGATTTAATTTGGAAAATGCTGGCTTAGGTGTTCCTACATGTGTTCAAGAGCATGTGCGGATTTCCTTCTTACAGAGCTGCTCCTTCAAAGGAGACAAATTTTGGTTGAATGAGGAACAATTTCTCAAATCACTCCCCAAATGGCAGATGGGCTCTCTCAAGCAGCCTAAGACACACAGAATAACGTCACCTTAACAGAATTTTCCAGTGAGGTATGTTTGTCCCTTGAAGACTACTTTTGGGTGGTATGTTTTCACTTCCATCATATTATTTCATGTCTTATTTTTATTACTTTAGTTTCATTGTGTCAACATTTAGTTACTTTCCACTTTAGACAAAAGATACTATTTTTCCATATACTGAATTTTTTCTATAAATTTATGGCAGCAACAGATTTACATTTTTAAAAAGTGGATCAGTTTAAAGAAAAGTAAATAACAGTGAGGGGGGGCTGAATGGGTGTGCATGGGAAAGTGCGCTGTAACACACAATGTGTGTGCAGAGCTTCTTTCACTGGGTGATATTGTCATTTCCTGGTGAAGGGCAGACTGCTCACTGCCAGTAAGCTGGCCGCTCATGTTGTTTTTCCAACAAATCATCCTCTACTAGAGGATCCTCAGGCTTGGAGCGACCCCTAAATGGGGCTAGGCAGATAGGGTTCAGTTGGCCCCCTTGACTGAAAGAGGATTTCCATAGACAGGCTCCAGGCGTATAGGTACACACAAGGGCACATGTGGATGGGCTGGCAGACAGGCATTACATTGAAAGCCACCACACTTCCATGCCACTTAGAGTATCAGTCCCTGAAGTACCCAGGGTCAGACCAACATGACAGGGGCGGAGAAGTGCATCTTTCTGCATGCAACCCCCAAATCCATGATGATGCCTGTTTCGGCAGTGCCTTTATACACAGTTCTCACCACCAGGCCCAGCGCCCACAGTTAGTAACCAAGGAAGCGATGTGATAGACAAGGAATGGGAGAGCAGTCCAGCAAAGCCAAGCAGAAAATCAAGTACAAGAATCTAGATGGTAGATAAGTGTTCACTGCAAAATTCTTCCAACTTGTTATATTTGAAGATTATTATAGAATGTTAGAATTAGGTGAAAGAACACAGCTTGTTTTCTCTATGAGGTGTATACGCTCACTTTCAATTAAAGCAGCTCTATTTTTAACAGTGTACGGTAAATATTTAATAGCAGAATATGACTTGACATCTATTAAAACAGTCAAGATTACAATTGTATTTTTTTTTTTTTTTAAAAGATGACCGGTAAGGGGATCTTAACCCTTGACTTGGTGTTGTCAGCACCACGCTCAGCCAGTGAGCGAACCGGCCATCCCTATGTGGGATCCGAACCCGGGGCCTTGGTGTTATTAGCACCGCACTCTACCGAGTGAGCCACGGGCCGGCCCCACAATGGTATATTTTTGAACTAAAAGAGGCCATCATATTTACTAGTACTTATTGAGTGCCTACTGTATGCAGCACAGCACAGGTGCTTGCAAGGACAATAAAGCTTAAAATGAAGAAGGCTTCCTCAAAACTTCCACATACATTTTAGGAAACATGAAAATATGTATCTTAAGTGTAATGATTTCAATGAATACTTACGGGCTCACCATTAGCAAGCACGTAGCATGCCTCTGTGCTCTAGGTTCTGAGCAGTAGGGTAATGAGCCTTGGCTCAATTACCAGGATTCACACCTGTTGAGCAATGAAGCGCTCCCTCACTCCTGGTTCCAGACAGCCCAAGTCCAGCCTTTGACTTAGGCAAATGCTTTAAATTTGCCAATTACAAAAACTACCCCCTTGGTGACATGGCAAGGCCCAATCCTGGAAGAGAACACTCTAAAAGGCCAATGCTTTGGACTCATTATTTTGGGTCATTTTCAACCATAGCCAGTTAAGAGCTGGTAAAAAGAATAATGAAACTCTAGCTAAGCTAAAGTTGACAAGTCTATTCCTACCTCAAATGAAAGGGGGCCACTGAGATAATCAAGCTTAAATCTCTTCGAACAGCAGTCTTTTCTACTTGCTAGATTTTCCCATAGGTACAGATCATAAAACCACAGGGCTGATTCATAAAGGGAAGGGAAAAATTAGCTGTAAACGGTTAACTTAAAAATTCAAATTTCTTTTTCTAGTGCACCTGTCATATCTCTAAAAAATAAAACTTCAGGCTAAAAAACAGGGCCAAAGAGTTAATAGGCCTGAATTCATCTGTGATCTACCAAAGAATTTAGACAACTTAGTGTAGACAGTCTCTTCCAGTAGAAAATTTTATTCTCATTGCTTTTTATGAGTAGGCAAACATACCTTACAATATTATAGACACCAGATTTTTACACCCAGCAAATTAGAGTTTACACACCAGCCCCAAACATAAGAGGCAGTTGGGATGACAGGGTAAGAAAACACAATAGCCTCAAAAGTTGAACATTGAGTCTAATTCTGAGTACTTACCAACCAGGAATTTTAAATTACATGATATAAAAAATCAACACCCCCAAACAACCACTCCTGGGGTCACAAATTCAGAGCAATTCCCATGCAAGGGATCCAGGTTCTAATTTGAAGGCCATACAAGTTTCACCTCCTTGGGCCTTGCAGGGATATCCCACAAAAGGCCTGTCACTCAGCACAAGGAACGGTCCCTATCTCTGAGTCACTAGGAAATCTGCCCAGCAGAGCCAGAAAGCACTGGGCATGTTAAAGACAGAAATGAATAAAGCAAACAAACAAACAAACAAACAGAAAAACCCACATTCAAACTCTGCCTGCCAATACTTGGAGAATCTGTTAGGACATATCACATGGTAGAAATAATAGCAGCTCAGGATTCCCTTTCTCCTAAGCTGCAAGATTTCTGCATTTCCCAAAGGGTGTATGAAATCACAATTAAAACCCAACGTTCAGTGCTGAGCAGGATGACCGCTTCTGAGATTACAGGGCGGGGCAAGGGAGAGAAGGATGAAGGGAGCTCAGGAGGCAAACTTCAAAATGTTTTATTACAAAATACAGCACAGGGTTCGTAGACTGTTTTCCAATATTCTCTAACACATACACTTTTGAATGAAGCTCTGTGAAATACCTGGCAGTCGCCCACAAGAATCTAACTTCTAAAATCATTTCAATCCCCTTAAAGTTACAGAAGAACTCTGCAGCGGGCAGTGGAATGGGCATGGTGGGCCACCACTCCAGTGGGCTCTCACCTACTAAGCATGGCATCGTTTCCTCCAGGGGTTGAGATCCATGTCCATGGCTGACAACCCACCAAAGCTGGGACCCAAATTCGTACAGTGACGAGGCAGAGTGAAGAGAAAACAACTCCAGGCAACCCAGAAGTCTCAGGACACTACTTCTTATTCCTGGGTTTTAGCTCTTCGGCTGCATTACGCAGGAAAATGTAATTTTTCTTTTGGGGATTATAAAACTCATGTCCCTAGAGAGGAAACAAAACCCCAATAATCGTATCATTAAAAAGCAACAGTTACCATTTTGTGGGCACTTTTTATATGCCGGGTTCTGTGCTATGTGTTTGAAGCATGATCTCTCTGGGGAGAAAACTAAACAAAGATGGAGAGGAAATAAAAGTCAAACATTAAACAAAAACTTCAGTCCTCAAAGGAAAGGCTAAAGACTTGCTGCACGTCTGTCACCAGTGTCCTACTGAGATGGGTGGTCTTGTACTTATTCGTCTTTTTGGCACTGAGCCCCCTTTTGGCCCCCCAGGATTTCAATGCCAAGATGGCTGCCCTGGAGTCCCTCAGTCAGGACTGGCTCTGACCTGAGGTTTCACAGAAGAGAGGACATCTGATCTGTGACATGTCATGACGATGAGGGCCCAGGACGACCCATCCCACACAGGTGGAGAAGCACAGACCCAGGGGGCTGTGTGACATCTGTAGAGTCCAAAAAATCAGGATGAGGCAAGACTGTAAAGGGCTATGAATGTCAGACTAAGGCCTGTGAACATTATCCCACAGGGAAAAGAACTGGCAGCCACAGAGGTCATGAGTGGTCAGAGACATGATCAGATGTGAGTTTCAGGAAGACAGTGGGTGGCAAGGCAGATAATGAGGAAGAGAGACACAGGCAGGAAGTGCGGGTGCTTAAGAGGCCTGGATGAGGGAGGCAGGCACAGCTCTGGGTGCGCTCTGCACCCTGTACTGCAATGACATGTTTTTATCATCATCCCAACAGGCATGCCTAGAAGGGTCTAGAAGTTTTGCTCAATGATGGTCATTAATTCTCATCGTAACACACAAAGTGGAGCTTTTCTGAACGATTATGTTCAAGTAGCAAGCTAATAACATTAGTCATACATGATCATGATTTCATACTATAAATAACTGTCCTTGAACTTAGAACAATGAAAACTCCCTGAAGTTTTTTTTTTCTTTTTTAAACCAAAAATATTTATGTAACCCCCGCTATAAGATGACATTAACTACTCAGATGTATTTTTACATTTTCCATTTTTAGGCAGCACTCAAAGCAATAAGCTCTGTAATTTCTTTCTATTTACTACTATTTGTTTTTTTAATGTTTCTAGGGCATAGAGCCCTGGGTGTGACTTAAGTCAAAATGCAGCATTTCATGCTTGGCTGAGCACGTGAAGAAGAAATTCCATGAAGGGCCCAGGGGGGACCAAGGCCTCAGGCCTCCATGCAGGCCACCACCTGTCTAACTGCAGACAGGCAGAACCAAAAATGTGCACTTTCCTTGCACAACTGGATGTGTGGCTTCCACAGGTGAATGGATAAACAAATGGTGGTCCATCCACTCTGTGCACATCAGCACTAAAAAGGAACAGGTAAGTGATATACTCCACAGCACGGGTGAATTTCAAGATCACTGAGTTGAGTGAAAGAAGCCAGGAAAATAAGAGTACATAGTTTACAACTCCGCTTATATAAGATTCTAGAAAACGCAAACCAATCCACAGTGACAGAAAGATAGATGATTCTGTGCATGTGTGGGGGGAGGTTTACAGCTATGCACATGGAAGCCTTTGGGGAGATGAAATGTGTGTTATCTTGGCTGCAGTGATGCTTTCATGGGTATTTTCAAATGATGAAACCAAATTGCACACTTTAAACATGTACAATTTACTGCACTTCAATTGCACCTCAATAAAGTTGCCTGAAGAAGAAAGAAAAGAAAGAGGCCATATGGCATGCATAAGCAACCTTTACAGAGAGTGAACACTGCACAGGCAAGCATAGGTATCAATGACAGTGTGCTTAACAGCCCCACGTATTGGAGGTGCAATGGACAGAACTTGCCTGGCTATTCCAAGAATAAGGGAGAAAGAACTAAAGGTGATGCTGAGACTGACGCCCCAAGTGACAAGATGGTGCTGGATTCAAAGGATGACCACAGGAGAAGCAGCGAGCCTGGAGTGGAGCAGGAGAGGGTGGGCTGGGAATGAGTTGGACTTCTAAGTTAAGAGCCTCAGGCGATACCTGGGTGCAGCTATCCTGCCTGAGATTGGTAAATACCGAAAAAGAGGTGGGGAGAGAGGCCAGGAACTGAGTTAGAAACCAAGGAGTCGCTGGCTTATGTGGGCAGAGCTGGGGCTTCCCTGGAAGAACCCAGGAGGACTACTCAGGATGGCCTGGCAGGAGGCGGCCAGCATGTAAGAGAGGCCAAAAGACGAGGAGCCAGCAAGGAAGATGGCAAGCAGCAGTCCAGAGTAGGAACACACCAGGGAACAGAAACAGCAGAGAAACCGATCCCTGGTGAAGAAAGGGATAGCCAGCATGTAAGAGAGGCCAAAAGACGAGGAGCCAGCAAGGAAGATGGCAAGCAGCAGTCCGGAGTAGGAACACACCAGGGAACAGAAACAGCAGAGAAACCGATCCCTGGTGAAGAAAGGGATAGACCACAGTGCCTGACACAAACAGAAATGAAGCTTCTGGGTTGGATAAGGAGGATGTAGCCAACGTGACTCAGTACAGCATCAAGGGTAGAAGGTACCTGGCAGTGGACTGAGAGGAGAAGGCAGGAGGGTTGGTGCTGACCTCTCTCGACAAGCCTAACAGGCACAGGGCAACAGGTTTCCTAAGGCTCGCTTGTGCGCTCAGACAGAGCAGAGGGGGAGGAGCTGGTGGACAGGGACAGAAGACAGTCCGAGAAGGGGCAGAAGAGAATGGCATCAAGAAACTGGGATGAGTGACAGATCGCGTGTGGAGTGGGTGGGAAGAGGTAGAGCCTGTGAAGTGGGCACACGAGGAGAGGAAAGGAAAGGCACATGGGCAACCAGAAGCCTTTCCTCTGTGAAGCTGGCAATCTCCCCAGCAAGGGCAGGGTAAGGAAAGGTCTAGAAAGCTGCTATGGAGCAAATGGTAGAAGGCATGTGGCAAGAGAAAGATGAAATCCACAAATGCAATGGAGACATTCTCCAGGACTAATAGTTCAGAAGCAAAGCAGTACGATAGCAGGCCGACAGATAACACACTGTCCTCAGTGGTCTGGTGCCCGAGTCTGTACGCTACACCATCCCGCCTGAGTGCTCCAACAATGCAGCCATGACCCTGTCAGCTCCTAACTCCTCTCCCCAAACACAAAAACCAGTGCTCCCAGGTGAGAGCTCCATAACCTGGCCCGCCACCCCTCCGTTGCCATGCCCCTTCACGCTCTCCCAGAGTGCAGGCCTCCAGCCTGCCCAGCCTCAACACCCAGTGACAAGAGTGGCTCGAAATGGCTCACTCTGACTGGGCACTTTCTGTGTGCTGGGTTCTCACTAAAGACTACTGAATCCCCACAACCTGAAGGAAGGCCCACTATTTCCTCTTACACGGAGGTGACAGTGACTTGCTCAGGGACACACAGCGAGTCCAGGGAAGAGTCCCAGCTTGAGCCCGGGCCTTCCAACCCCAGAGCCTGGCTTTGCTCCTTAGAGCACCCAGAGCGGGCCTGGGAATGCTCACCTTCGACCAGTCGTAGCTGGAAGCGTATGCAAATATGTTTCCATTGTGATTGAAGCAGCAGGCCGATATCGGCTGATCTAACTGTTCTGAAGTTTTTAGTTTTGTTCTGGCATCTTTGTCCCAGAAGCTGAATCTACCATCAGATCCCACCGTTGCAAGGGTGCCATGAACAGGATGAAATGCAATCCCATTTACCTGCAGGGATTGATATGCACAATGAGAAGCGGGGAAGGGCAGGGAAGCAGGCTCTTGCCAATGCATGCTTCCTGCCTGAGTTAGGAGACAAAATGCACAAAACACACATTTCATTAGAGCTGGCTGCCCACTGCTCACAGAAGAAACTATCCGTGCTTCCAGCTGGGAACCCAATCTTGTCCCTTGAGATGAACATAAATCAGCATAAGGTAATGTGTGTATGTAGCTAGTAACACCAAGGGGCATAGCATAGCTCAGGAAAGTGCCTTTTTCTTTTTTAGCAAACAGCAATTTCTCAGCCTTAACTAAGTGTGTAAACTGTATACCAACACTCATAAAGGAGGCAGGAGGCTCCCCCAAAAGTCTTAAGCTTGAATTCAGAAACAAACAGAAAATAAATACGTTCATAAAGATAGAAAACTGAAACCTGCAGCATAGGCCATCTGTCTCCAGACACAAACACACACAGCTTCTTCAATGATTAATCTTTTCTGATCTCGTAATTGCTCAGGTAGCCTCTAAGTCTAGTTTCTAGATATATTTCAAGGTTAAAGTTAAGTTTCTAGTAGCATACCGCGTAGATGTCTTGAGGAGCTGAAGTATTGGTTCCATTAGATCGATGGCATTTAAAGGTAAAGTTATCTTTGGCACTGAAAAACAAAGGTCCATCTAAGTTTTCATTCTTTTAGAAAAAAGTTTCCAGTGAAAATTCGCAAGTTGACTGAGTGCCACTTACGGATTTGGGGGATTGATGTAGTGAATAGCAACTCGCCCCTCGATACTTCCCAAGGCAAAACCAGTCGGCTTGTTCTGCTTGTCTTTAAAAATAGCCACACATCGATGCTACAGTTAAAAAAACCAAAAAAAACTAATATCACAATGTAAAATATAAGATTTTATAACTAATGTGAAGGTAAAGGTTTGTTACCCCATTTTCAGGTTTTAGAAGAACAGAAATATATTATTCTAATACAATTAAGAAGATATTTTTATTCCCCCAGCAAGAACTACTTTCTAACTTGTCAACAACTGCATTTCTCAGCCATGTGACCTGACTGACTG